TTTTTCTTGATTTAGTGTGCTTGATGTTGTCAGTCTGAAGGATGCCCAGGTATTTGTAGTGATCTTCTTCATCCAGACTCTTGATGTTATTTCCCTAGAGCATCTTGATTCCTTCAGTTTTCACTATTTCCCCCCTACTGATGGTAAGGGTATCATCATCATCATCATCATCATCATCATCATCATCATCATCATCATCATCATCTGAAAAGGCTGCCAGCTCAGCATCATTGTCATGCCACTAAGTCTTATATGGATGTTGCTTTATAAATCACTGTGATTGGTGTTTGAAACATGGAAAAGCCTCTGTTATCATGATTATAATAAGTGAAGGGAACTAAAGAAAATAGGAAGGAACAGGTATCAAGATCTGAAAGGATTCCAGGAATCAAGAACAAGTGGAGAGGGGGGAAAGTTCAATGCCTAGGCAGGGAATATTTGTTGCTTTCTATAAAGGAAACTAGAAAGCTGCCTTCTTCCTAGTCCTACTGTTGCTTCTTTGGGTTCATTGGTTGCCTATATTAACTAACAGCATCTTCCTATTATTTCAAATGTATGTCTTTCTCAATGCTTCTGTGGTGCTTCTGTGACTGAATTTGGACCTTTGGCATGCAACAGAAATGTTCACTGAGGCAAGAACTGAAAAAGGAAGGAAGCTTGCATTTCCAATATGCATTCTTCTATGATGCGGCAGGGCTGAGCAACTGTTTCTCACTCTTTCTCAGCTGTAACATTTTAGTAATCCAACTAACAGTCCTTTTAGGTCAGATATTGTTACTATCTCTGTGGTCCTTGTGTTTAACAGATGGCAACTTCTTTTAAGGCCAGCTATTGGACTAGAATCTTTGGGCACTTCACACTAATGCTTTGCACCACTTTGGGATCTTCTCTGCACCTGATTGTGCTCACACTGTCAACTGTTTTAGAGAGTGATTTGTTTTTAATTTTATTCTGTTAACTAAAATAACAGGAAAGTTTATGTTGGTTTTTTTTTGGAATCTCTGTGACCATACAAATTGTATGAAAAATCTGTTTTCTAATTGGCAGGAATTTCTGCCTCATCCCACTTTTGGCTCCATGCCTCAAGGTATCCCATAGAGATTAGCATCCTGTTCATGAAACGTGTAACTTCTAATAGACATAGTTTAAAACTTAATTATCTCCTACCACTATCATTCAGCTGCCATAGCAACATATAGTCATGGTCACAATTATTGGGAAAAGCCTGGTTTTAAATTGGTTATGAACTTTAATTTCCACTGTTACTACTTTTGGGGGGAGGAGGGGGGTTAATGCAACAGAGATACGGCAGCAAAGGATCTGGAAAGGATATCAATGTTTTTTGTTACATTTTCTCCCATCGACTTTTTTCCATGTAGCTTTTGATCATAGCAACTTCTTAGCATTTTTTTGCAAGTCACCTGATAATTGCACACTGATACATATGCTGAAATAGAGAGATAGGAGAAGTTCACTCACAGTATTTTATAATGGGAGTGAGGGGATTTTTTTCCAGTCAGGAGTTAGGTCTTTGCACTCTTCTGTTGGTCAGGGAGGGAAAGAGGATAAGCACTTATTGGTTCAGCGTGTTGTGTATTCTCTGCATTTTGAGACTGGCAGATGAGAGCAAAATTATGGGCTGGTTTCAAACTACTGTGTGTGGGATTGTGGTGAAATGGTGCTGGAGTAGAAGTACCTTGAGAAGAAATTAATCTGTTATAAGAAGGTGCAGGCTGTGGTATAATAGACTCCAAATTCATATCCTTTCTCCAAGAAGTACTGGTTAGTGTGCTTTCCTCACAAGAGCTCTGTAAAATAGTTGTATTTGTTTACAAATTATTAAGACAGGGCAGCATGTTGGATTCAATGGCAAAGAGATGCTTCAGAGTGTGGGGTTGCACACATTGCATCGTTCTGCAACTCCTTAAGACAAAGGTATCTTTTCCTGGGATTGTGCTGTAACAGCACATGCTTTGCAACATTTTTTGCCTGCAAATCCAAAGCAGTTCATAGCCCTAAAAATTATAATTCTGTGTCTGTTTTTTATTAGACTTTTAAAATGTATAGACTGATTATTTGTATTTATATTTCTTGCATTCATGATTTCAACATACTAATCACGATACTTCCTTCCATCCTGATTTGGCCAACATCCTTGAACAAATATGTATATATATATATGTATTTGTCATTTTAGTAATTGCTGACGGATCACTAGAGAAGACCAGTGATGATATTGGGAGTGAAGAGGATTTGTATGAAGATTTCCGAAGTTCGAGTCATCGTTATGGCCACCCAGGTGGTGGAGGAGAGCAACTTGCTATTAATGAGGTACTGCAGTTCTTAGTAACTAAGGCAAATAAAATACATTTAATGTTAAATGCATTTTCTAATAGCTCATTTATCTCTTCTCACAGCAAGATTTAAAGTTACGGCTTAAAAGTATAGGCCAATATCCTTATGAAATTAAAAGCAGATTTAAACGGACATTCCTGTAATACTTCAAAAAGAAAATACTTAGTAAGGATGCTAAAAACATTTCCCAGGAGAGGGGGGTCCCACAATGACAAAGCAACAAATGTCTAACCTTTCCACTGGGCCCGGCACGCATTGCATTGTCACCAATTATAAAGCACTCCTTTAAATAATGAAGTGCCCATCCATTTAGATCAGAAGTAACTTCTAAGGGATCAAGGGCCACATTCGGCTTCCTTATCTTCTTGAAAATTGCAGGAACCCATCTCATGATGTGGTGGAAGTGGCATAGCCAATATTTATTTTGATTTTTTTTTTAATTTTATTTTTGGGAGGGTTAGGGGTGGAAGTGGGAGTGGAAGGCCACTAGGACAAATTGCTGCTATGTAAAGTAGGTGACAGGTAACCTTTCAAGAAAGAACATTCTATATTCTTCCTGCCTCATCTTGCTGTGGAGGAGTGTCAGGTTCAGCCCAAGAACAGCAACAAGACAATCCAGTACAGTTCAGTTCCTTTATTAGCTTGCACCTAATAGACAGAATCTCGCCAGACTAAACCTATGCTAAAGCAACTAGTGGATGTAACCCGTAAGACTCTAGGGAGGGGCCAGCCTCATCCTCTTCTTCTTCCCACTGTTCTGCTGTGGGCTGAGGCGCTTGCCCTGGAATGTCTCTCCCCCCTCCTGACAATCTTGAAGTTCCATTCCAGAATCTTCCCCGCTCATGCCATCCATTGCAAGGAGTTTGATGTAAGGCCTCAGATTATGACCTTACTCCTGGACTGGCAAGCAGAGGGAAGACAGTCCTAAAGATAATATGAGTCAATACAATAAAGCTAGAATTTTGCTGGCCCCATCATCATCATCATCTCCAATTAATAGCCATTAATTAAAAATTAATGTTTGGAATTAACTGAACACTGGTCTAGTGAGCATCATTCAATCCAGTAGATGCACAGAAAAGGGCTATAAGCATCTTGATATTTACTGTCATCTGACACAAGATTTACTTTGAAAAGGGTGCTAGAGCTGTCTTTGTTGTCCCACAGATTCATCTAAGTTGTACATTCAGAAAATGAGCTGGGAGTCTTAGATACAGCTGATGGGTTTAATAAGTCGTATTCTTGCTTCATATAAAAGGGAAGTGACAGAAATTCTTGGAGCGGCTAGTGATATTATGGGCAAAAGCTATATTTCTCTGATTCTCTGAGCATTTATTGAGAGAAGATTCATGAGTCCCCTAAGTTGTGGTGTTTTTTTGATGACGCCGTAGTGGCCTGCTTTTCGTTCTAAATCATAATCCACAAGTAATAACCACGGTGGTGAATGCATTTACTGTGCTAAAGCCAAACCCCAGAGGCCCCTGCTTGGCTTCCAACAGTACCTAAAACAGGCCATCTGGTCCTCTTTGTTAGGTTCTGTTGAGAAATAGTTCTGACATTGTCCTGGCAGCGAGGGATGTACCAGCAAAGAAGGTGATATGCAATTCTGCAATTGCTGTTCATGTGACAGTTCACCAGCAAATGCTTGCAGACTTGCTGCTTTTTTGCCCCCCAGGTCCCTCTGAATGGGTGGGGCCACCACGCTTGCTGGCCTATCTTTCTGAAATCAAATTTTTGCTTTGCTAGCTCTTGCAAGGAGATTAGTTGTCTCAGACATAAGGTAGTTGTTTTTTACTGGACATTTTGAAATATTGACAGCCTAAGTATTTCAGGGAAGTTATTTAATTATAGCCCATTGTCTCTCTACCATTTTGTCTTCCTGACCAGCTTTGAAGTAAATTAAAAAAAGACAGAGGCTGCCCAGTTGACTCAGTAAGATTATTGACAGAATGGAAAATGATCTCTTTCCCCCATCCTCTATTCATTCAAAAACTTTGGTACAAAAAGAGAGTGCTTGGCTTCCCCATAAGCTCACCAAAGCAGCTGTATTGTGAAAGTCTGATCTGTGCTGAGCAGTTGGCATACTGGAAAGTGTGCTGTGTAACTATTTATAATCACCCACAGGAATGCAGTTATTTTAAGATCAAAAATTAATTTGTAGCAAAGGATTTTCTACAGACAAAAACCTTAACTTGCTGCTCTTCTTCTAACGAAGGGCGTTTGTTATTTTGCTGAAATAGCAGGAGCAGCTGCCAACGGTAGTGGATTTTGCTTTTTAACATTCAAGTAGATTTTCCAGTGATGAGGTTAGTTTCTACAAATGCATCCCCCAGGTAGACATGAAGTGTCTTTGATGATGTTGTCTGTACAGAATAATATCAGTTGCTCTCTGATTATATATCTTGTAATGTTTTTATTAAATTGTACACAGTTTTATAAAAAGTTACAGACTTTATAAGAAGGTAAAAGAAAAATTTCTAAACAGATTACACAAATTAAGATAAACTAAAATAGGATGTAAGTTCTAGAGAAAACCTAACCTACTTAGAATATAAATTACTAAATTTCTAAACTGTTAAGTATATAAGATACTCATATATGTGTGTGTGCATATATGTATTCACACACACACACACGCCTTTGAATCAGGTTTTCAGTTTTTTTTTTTTAACTCCTGATGACTGCCTGGATTAGTCCTTGCAGTTTTCTTGGCAAGGTTTTTTGGAAGTGCTTTGCCATTGTCTGCTTTCTAGGGCTGAAAGAGAGGGACTGGCCCAGGGTCACCCAGCTGTAACCTTTCTAAGATTGAAAAAAAAGGAACCCTGCATGTTCTCTAATGCACCCATGAGTTTTTCCTTTGAAATGGTTTCTAATAATATAGAGTACCAAATGTCTAAAAGTTGGAATACTAGTTTCCTTCCATTTCTGGACTACAATGCTTCCATAACATTAATCTAATACTGTGTTTATTTTTAATATTTTTATTTTTTTTCCTCAAAAGATAATGAAAGACATAATTCTGGTATTGCTGGTACAGAGAGATAAGCAGATCTTGTTTATTTCTTTGAAGACTGATTTCCAAACCCCATTGGACCTGACTGCTGTACATTTAAAAATTTTTAGAACTACCTTCTTTTGCTCCTCATTATGCATCATAGAGGAATAAAAATAGTTTTAACAGAGGTTCAAGGCAATTCACTATGTTAGAGCCACAATAAAATAATAATTATTCCTCTTCCTGCCAGTGGCTTCAACACAACTCCGTCAGGTCATCTACATAGTAAACAGGGGAGTATTGCCTCATGCAGGAGCTGTTTCTATATTCACCACTCAGTTACTAGCAACACATGATAAACTAATCATACAAGTGAGTCTTGGCACTTTTTTAAAAAAAGAAAAGCACCTTCAATTAGAAGAAGGTGGGAAAGAGAAACAGTTGGGAGAGGAGATGCTTAAGCTTTTTCTCCATGTTGAAGCAGGCGATACAATCCCCCCATTACATAGCTTCAGCGGCTTAACGACGCTGAAAGTTGCAGGCCAGAAATGGTCAACGCTTCAGCGGTTTGAGTCCAGCCTTCGCGTTAGCAGGGTGAGCTCCTGTTTCCTCCCCACTTCCTGTCAACCCAACAGTTCGAAAACTCACGTGAATAGATAAATGGGTACTCTCACTCCAGTGGGAGGAAAAATGCTGGTGGCGCCTTGCAAAAAAGGAGTCGGGAGCAGTTGCTGGTAAGCGCGAAAAATCGCGCGTGCCCGAAAAGGGCGCGAAGCAACGGAAACCCCGCCTCCTGCACTCGCCAGCTGGGCTCTGCTCTAGGAAGGAGGCCATGGCAAACCACTTCCAAAACGCCTTGCCTTG